ATACAGTGGTGCCTCGCACAACGGGTGCCTCACACAACGATGAATTCACACAACGATGCCTTTTTCTGTTAAATTTGCCGCCTCACACAACGATGTTTCCTATGGGGAATTTTCACACAATGATGCCTCTTTCTCGCTCCTGTAAAAGTGCCTTACAATGTTTGGAACCTGTTTTAAATGCTTGCAATGGTTAGCCCACCTCCTGAAACCTATGCAAACTTATTTTGGTGTTGTTCTGACACTTCGTTAATTTGTGGTGATTTTTTGTTTTTCCCCTCATTGAACTCCATGCATTTCAATGAGGGGAAAAACAAAAAATCACCACAAATTAACGAAGTGTCAGAACAACACCAAAATAAGTTTGCATAGGTTTCAGGAGGTGGGCTAACCATTGCAAGCATTTAAAACAGGTTCCAAACATTGTAGGACACTTTTACAGGAGCGAAAAAGAGGCATCGTTGTGTGAAAATTCCCCATAGGAAATATCGTTGTGTGAGGCGGCAAATTTAACAGAAAAAGGCATCGTTGTGTGAATTCATCGTTGTGTGAGGCACCCGTTGTGCGAGGCACCACTGTACCTAGATTGAAGTTTAATCTATAAAAACCCACTGTACTGAAGGACAACAAAATATAACATATCTGGTATTATGCTCTCTGATAAATAAGCATTTGAGTCTGAATCATAAAATTATTACTATAGTACTTAGGAATTTGAAATCTTTTTCTAACCAAAAATATATTGTTACAAATGAGAGCTTCCAAAGACAACTAAAGGCATAAGAAATGGACCAATACGAAATGAACTCCATATGAACATATTTTCTCTGAGGGACAAGTTGCTAATCCTTTGCCTTACATTAAATACTTTACCAACAGCCATTAACAACAGCATGTTTGCTTCTGAAATTGTCTCCTCCCTCGAAACGTCTGTTCCCATAACTTTACAATTATGTAACCACTGATAATGGAAATGTCACATGAAAACAGTGAAAAGTTTTAGAAAACGCTATACAAAATACTCAAAGCAGGGACAATTTGAGCCAGGACACACACTTTTCATGGCAGAGAGTAGAGAAATACCTCCACTTAAAACTGTGAAGTAGCTGTTACATGAGTTGGTTCAGTGCTTCTTCAGACTGTGTCCTTGGAGATCTTGGGGGTCCTTGAGAGTTAGGAGTTGCTCAGCGAGGTTAAATTAAGAAAGAAACCTTACTCAACATTATTGATCCTCCTCTGCAAAGTACATTTACATGAGCAGGGTAGATATATCCTACAGCACCATCTCCATTCACATGACATAAGGCCCAACAGGCCCAGGCAATACTGTACATTGGCTGAAATCCTGTTGCATAGTTGTTGGACGAGACTTGCCATAAACTTTTATCTGTTGTATAATGAGTTAATGCAGCAAGTAATGCCTATATGGAGATCTCTTAATTTATGGCAATTATGTTGTGCCATAGAATTTCAGCCACTGTGTAATCTGAATGTGCACTCTGCAATAGCTGAAAGCATCCCAAATACAAATCAATGAAGGACATATTCTTGCAAGCATCTGTAGAGCACAAATCTCTAGCAGGTGCAACTGTGTAATCCATGGAGAAAGTACTGTACTATGTATATGGTCCAATGTACAAATCTAGATATTTCCCAGTTCTCCCAGTGGTATGTCATGTATTTGTCAGCAGACAGCACAAAATAAGATCTCACTACCCCTTTGGAATACTGACACTGCAACTCAGGAACAATACTGTATATGATTGCTAGTATATGTACTCCTTGTGTATGTGCATTCAGTTAAAAAACCAAATTTATAATAATGCAGAAACATGGATCACTTCTCATGATGGCCTCACTGATGATATTGCAAATGGTCTTGGTTGTGACCTTCAGGTGAAACAAGTGGTATATAATAATTTTTTCCACAGGTTTATTTAATTTTTCTGGGTATCAGTTTGGTCTTTTCTACATATTTATTTTACTTCACTGGCTATGTGTAGCAATTTAAGAACTTCATTATATAAATATAATTCATTATATAAACTATATAAATGTGCAAACTGAACAGACATTGGTGGTATTTCCTAAGTCTCCATGAAATTTCAGTGCAGTAACATGTGATACGGGGACAAGAATGGTATCCCTCTCGCCGGAGTGCCGTCCTTCCTCTGTACAACAGAGAAGGGGGTACAAACCCAGCCTGTCTCATCCCCCAAGAGAACAGAGCAGCGAGGGACAGAAATGAAGTACAGTGGTGCCTCGCACAACAAGCGCCCCATAGAGCGATGAATTCGCTCTACGAGGACGCTCTTGCGATCGCTAATGCGATCGCACAGCGATGGCCCCAATAGGCGAAAATCGCAGAACGAAGGTCGGTAAGCTGCTCGCTTACCGACCTTCGCTTTGCGACCCGCTGATCAGCTGTTCCGCAGCTTCAAAATGGCCACCGGAACAGCCGAAAGGGGCCAGGGCGCAGCGTTTTCGCACCCTTGGTAAGCAAGGGGAGCGTGCGAAAACACTGCAGAAGCCCTGAAATGGCTGCGCACAACCATTTCGGGGCTTCCGGCAGCGTTTTCGTGCGCTCCCCTTGCTTACCAAGGGCGCGAAAACGCTGCACCCCAGCCCCTTTCGGCTGTTCCGGCGGCCATTTTGAAGCCGCGGAACAGCTGATCGGCGGGTCGCAAAGCGAAGGTCGGTAAGCGAGCAGCTTACCGACCTTCG